GTAACTAATATCTCCGCCCCGTAACTAACATCCCCGCCCCGTAACTAACATCCCCGCCCCGTAACTTACATCCCCGCCCCGTAACTAACATCCCCGCCCCGTAACTAACATCCCCGCAAGTAACTAATATCCCCTCCCCGGTCTCCGCAGTTGAAAAAAAAAATTTGTAAATGAACCAACCATACATATATACACTGACTTTGAAGTTGAAATCCACAAATACATACACACCTACCTGTAGTTTCACTATTTAGTACATTGTGTGTAGTTTCACTGAATTCAGCTCACAACATAAAGGTTAGAAGTAGCAGTTTGGGAAAGATTTTGTCCAAATAAAGACATCCTTTTGGTTACTATGGCAAGCAAAGAAGAACCATTGTTTTGGAAAATGGTACCAATGTATATCCATTTCCATAGCAACAATTCTGGAGACATGTGATGTGTCATATTAAAGGCTATGATAAGCTACACAATTCAACAAATTGTTTCAAGGGGAAAAAAAGGAAAAACGTCTGCACATTTGAATATGACCCCTAACATTTCTGTATAGTTTCGTTGAAATGTGTTCCCATATTTAGTAGAAGTCTGGAAAAGATCACTGTATTTATAGTTCTTATGTGACTACCATGGCAACTAAATAACATCGGATGTTTTGGAAAATAGTACTGCTGTAATTACCATCCTGCTAAGCCTTTCATTTACATATTTTCAATGTCTCAATTTCGATCAATGAGAAACCCCCTTTTATGTTTCCATATTAACTATTGTTTTGAAAAACAGGATGTGTCAAATTACAGGCTTTGATAACTTACACTATTTTATTTCATTAGGGTTGATAAAAGGACTGGCTAAGGCGTCTCACCGTTTTATCACTAGCACCCCTTGGTCACGTGTTCAAGGCATTTGGTCACTTGTTCGAGGCCTACATTGTAATTGGGCAGTCGCCAGCTACTGGCCGCAGGTTTGTAGTTTTTCTCAGGGAACTCCGTTTTCCCTCTACCAACTAAACCTGTCACGTCCTTAAATGACATTGGCTGTTGATAATACGTAATCAACAATACACTTAGCCGAAAGGACTGATGAGCTAGGGTCAAGACACAAATTTCTTGTGTATAGTGACCTGAATACCATGCACCAAACTTTTGGGGAAAAAAACTGCACATCTATGCATGGTCTAAAATTTCCGTGTAGTTTAATTAAAACATCATAAGTTGCATAAGTTTCTAAAATCCAGAGATGATAATTCCAGTTACCTCTTCCCTCAACTTTCTTGCAGGAGTATGATAAAGATCAAACAATGGCGGAGATCCCACTGGGATCATTTTTATGGCCATTCGACGATAAGAGTCATATCGGGCCAGACCTGATTAGGAAGAGAAAAGATCCGTCTGTCATATCGTTGAACACTTCATAGATCCTTACACGGCACAAATCTGTCCAGAGTTGTCGCAACATCTCGGGGAAATTTTTAATTAAGGATGCTGGTGTTGATATCTGAAGTCCACCGGAAATTTCCCAGAGATTGTCCTGTGCGAATGTACATGTCTTATCTTAGAACTGTGTCACTGTTTAAGATGTTATGGGCTGTGAAGTAAGGTATTCTAACCCTGTGATCTCCAAGCTCCTATACACGACACGGAAAGCCTCGGTTAGTGTAGATAAAATCCAGAAATATGCACAGTAAGTTTTAAATGTGCGATATACATATATGTGAAGTTAACCAACATCTACACATAACATAATCAACAACGATACACATCAGTGACGTAGGAAGCGAGGCGGGCGAGGGGGAGGGGACACTTTTTTAGTGGGGATGGGGGCAAACATACACCTCCCCCCTCCCACACACACACTTTTTATGTAAACTTTTTAAAAAGAGATATATTTATTTTTTTACTGAATAAAAAAATACAAACAGAATTGTATTGAATTGATTTTGCAAATTCCATTTGTTGTGGTCACGTAAGAAAATTCCGGAAATCCTCTTTTTTCACCGTCTAGCTCATTGTGACATACAGATGTACTTTTCGTAATATAGACTATCACAGAATATCGTGAGCTATAATTCCAAAAGTCAGTAATGACGAGTGTTCTGTTGGCGATAAGGACAATAAATTGTGTTATCTGACTAGACAGCATGGAAATTCAACGTTACATGATCACAGAACTTAAAACCCTAAAGTTTTCCTATGGTAGAAAGACTGATTGAGTTATATGCTACATAATTGCCATCAAAAGAACCTGAGCTCATCTTGAAAGCCTCACGCAAATACAGGGTTGCGTTCTTGCTTATGCACAAATCTCTGTCGTCCGTAACACAGAGTTTATGTTCACATCATATCCTCACACTATCGAACTCGACACATGATAAGATAATAGTTATGATAGGTCGGAGTGATGTTTCAGTGGTCATCCAATGGTCACTCTTGACCACCTTTTAGATAAAAAGACCCGGGGTTGTCAACCCATGATCACTGATTTAAGCTCATATGGCGTTGAGCTTTTGACATTCCGCGGCGTCCGTCCATGCGTCCATCCATCGACCCTTTTTCTCTCTCTAAAAATCGCTACTAGTCCAAGGGCACTCAAATGTATAAATGGTGGTCCTGAACACAGCCCATGGGTCCCGAGGGGCGGGCTTGAATGGTGAGCTTTAGCAAATTCTTTCCTGTAGAAATGATAGATTGGTCTAAAACATTCTTATATCTGTTGAAGTGGAATCAGTTTAGTACAAATAGTGGGTCTCGGTCCCCTGAGCCAAGAGGCGTACTCCACTTGGGGGAATGGAGACAAATAGCTTAAAATCCTTCCTGTGTAGGAATGTCAGGATTCTGTCCAAAATAGGAATGAAGCTTCATTGTGGGAAGGGAAATCAATTTTGTAAACACAGTGGAAGCAAGCCCCTGGAATCGGAGTTACGGAGCCTAATAGGGATAATTGTTCATTTTTTGAAAATATTCTCCTTCTCAATGCATTGAAGGATTCTGTCACAATTTGGTGGGAAGCATGATTGGTCAAGGAGACTTTTATAAATGGTTGGTAGAGGGATGGGGCCCACAGGGAAAAAGACATACACATTTGCTATTTCTTTAGTTTGGAGTGATCGATTTCAGATAAATAAAACCATGGAGTGATGCACAACAGAACGAGTTATTTCTTCCATGCATTTATTTTAGGTAATATTTGAGTTGAGGCCTGACCATTGAAGTGTGAAATGTCAAATTGGAGTAATCAGGAACGCAACGTGAACAGTAATTAAGGCTATTCAGTCGTTAAATAACCAAAACATTAAATTATATACGTTGGGGAATTTTAGGGGGAGCTGGGGGTGGGGGAGGGGGTAACCAGAATTCTATTCGTCTCAAAAATCTTTTCCAAGTAAGAATAGAGATATATAATAAGGCATGCTAATTGGGTATAGAAGTTAAACAGAGTATTCGAACCCCGCATAATCTCGTGAACATAAATACGACCTCTCAGGCACCCTACAACATTAATGAAACCACCCTTTCCCCAAATTAATGGTCCCTTGATATCATATACTACCAAAAATGGCCGAGGTAATCGATATAATTCGCTTCCAGCTTCCGTTAGCTAACGAGACAGAAAGTTACAGAGTACGCCAAGTTAAAACGTGCTAATTTGGAGAAAAGGCCATTTCGGTTCTCTCCTCATCGATTTTCCTTTCTAAGCGGACGGAAATTATAGTTCTATTACAAGAACGGCTATTAAATTAGATGATTAGATATCGTGTTATACACTCACCGTCCAATTTGCTATGAAGACAATTTTCTAAATAGAGCAGATTATTGAACTAGTCGGCACGATTTCCTTCCCAAAGTTGTATTTAATTAAATCTAAAACTGCACTTTAGAAATACACGTTCCACACTGACTGATCATTTACAGATGTCCAGGTCCAAAGTGCAGTGAAACCGATAACGTTATCAATATGCTTTGGTTTCTGTATTTCAAATAACGGTGTTTTAATTTCAGGACCGTAAAAAGTGTCTCCCTAGATGAAATCACACCGTTATGTTTAGCGACAGATGAATTTCGTCACAGTACTTTAATTTGTATGTTATAAGGGAGGTAACTCCCATCAACTGTACAATAATTGCCAAACTACCAAGATTACATGACGAGGTGAAATGTTATGAAGATATATATACTCCAATGTCCTTATAGCACTATGTTTAAATAATTGATTTTCATATCGGCCATTCTGAAAAGCTTAATCAAGACTCGCGTAGCATATTATAAAAATAACTCCATATCAAATCTTGAACCGTACATCAGTAGAGAGCCTCATTACTTTGACGATGTATTCTTGAAAAAAAAACTTTAATGCAACTCTCCCTGATCAAATCGTTTGAGCCATATGAATTTGAAAACTATGATGTGTCATATTGAAAAGTATTCATACAGCGTGTTAAAGTTTAAGTATTCAATAAGCAATACATAAAAAACCTTAAATTTAATTAGCTAACTTAGGGTATTTTTGTCTTGTTTTACACGAGTTATAAAAGTATGGTTATTTGTAACAGTTTACCAGTATAACATTTGCGATGTTCAAAAATAATTACGCTGGTCGATGAAAGAAAACATCACGTCTATTACTAATAATCCTACATCACATTTAAACGTTAATTTTACGTTGAATTATAACAATTTTTAAACATTCCATATTTATGAATAAAATAAAGGAATGAATCTAAACGCAATGTGATCAACGCTTTATCAAAAAGCATGAATTTCAGTAGTGATGTGGACAGTAGATTATGATTCATATAAAGTTGATAGAAAAATATAATTCATGTTGATATTCAGAATATGACTTAAAAAGAATATATATTTGATATAGAAAATAACAATTTCGAACTTGAACAGTAAAATAAGCACATCGCTATGCGGCGGCCATCTTGTTCTCCCTGGATCGTCTCGAGAATCAGCAATAACAAGGAACGACTAAAGATTGTTGAGGGTGTCCATACAGCATCATTACATGACATATACATCCCGTGGTCGGCTTCTTCTGTCCTCCTAAATTGTCAAAGGTATAATAAACATGGTTATTGATTTTTTTTTTCAGAAACTGATAGGTGCTAGAAACCTATAGGCGGTTTTATATACAAAGATTGAAGTATCGTCATGTTGGAAAACAACAATTTGTGGCGAAGTTCAATACTGTCTCTATCATAGCTGTTACCTTGTCTAGCTATAATCACACGTGGCATCATATTTCCTTTTATTCTTGGCATACTATATACACCAAATATCGGTCAAATACTTAAAGCCAGCATTGCAAGCTCAAATAAATCATGATTGTTGTCATGTACAATTTCATATAAATCATGATTGTTGTCATGTCAAATTTCAGATAAATCATGATTGTTGTCATGTTCAATTTCAGATAAATCATGATTGTTGTCATGTTCAATTTCAGATAAATCATGATTGTTGTCATGTTCAATTTCAGATAAATCATGATTGTTGTCATGTTCAATTTCAGATAAATCATGATTGTTGTCATGTTCAATTTCAGATAAATCATGATTGTTGTCATGTTCAATTTCAGATAAATCATGATTGTTGTCATGTTCAATTTCAGATAAATCATGATTGTTGTCATGTTCAATTTCAGATAAATCATGATTGTTGTCATGTTCAATTTCAGATAAATCATGATTGTTGTCATGTTCAATTTCAGATAAATCATGATTGTTGTCATGTTCAATTTCAGATAAATCATGATTGTTGTCATGTACAATTTCATATAAATCATGATTGTTGTCATGTCAAATTTCAGATAAATCATGATTGTTGTCATGTTCAATTTCATATAAATCATGATTGTTGTCATGTCAAATTTCAGATAAATCATGATTGTTGTCATGTTCAATTTCAGATAAATCATGATTGTTGTCATGTTCAATTTCAGATAAATCATGATTGTTGTCATGTTCAATTTCAGATAAATCATGATTGTTGTGATGTCAACAAAATCACAACGTAGCTTCGACAATGTATTTACTAATTAGAGCAATGACAGGACCATAAAGACAGGAGACAATTTCCCAAAATAAACTCACAATGACTTTGGTCAGCTTGATCTCCTTGATGATAAGACTCTCCAATAGCTGTAGGCTTTTACTTTCCTCCTGTAACTAACAAAGAATGTGTAACTTTTTTACAGACGACCAGGACATACAGACATTTAATGATATACAGACCATCAGAATAGACATCGTAACATACTGACGATCAGGACAGACATACATGTTATGATATACAGACCATCAGAATAGACATCGTAACATACTGACGATCAGGACAGACATACATGTTATGATATACAGACCATCAGAATAGGCATCGTAACATACTGACGATCAGGACAGACAGACGTAATGCTATACAGACCATCAGACTGGGCATCGAAACATACAGACGATCAGGTCAGACAGACGTAATGCTATACAGACCATCAGACTGGACATCGTAACATACTTGCGATCAGGACAGACAGACGTAATGCTATACAGACCATCAGACTGGACATCGTAACATACTGACGATCAGGTCAGACAGACGTAATGCTATACAGACCATCAGACTGGACATCGTAACATACTGACGATCAGGACAGACAGACGTAATGCTATACAGACCATCAGACTGGACATCGTAACATACTGACGATCAGGACAGACAGACGTAAAGATATACAGGTATTGTTATACCTTGATCAACAGACTGCACAGTTACATATTGACGACAACAGAAAGTACATTGCAATACTGGCCACGCCAGGCTGGACAGTCCAACATACTAATCGTAAGGAAAATATTCTAAACATTCTGCCCACAGGCTTGACACTGTATATTGCAACATACTGGCCACCATGACTGACATTGTAATATACTGACCATCAGGACATTGTAATATACTGACCACCAGGACATTGTAATATACTGACCACCAGGACATTGTAATATACTGACCACCAAGATAGACATTGTATTATACTGACCACCAGGACATTGTAATATACTGACCACCAGGACATTGTAATATACTGACCACCGGACATTGTAATATACTGACCACCGGACATTGAAATATACTGACCACTAGGACATAGTTATATACTGACCACCAGGACATTGTAATATACTGACCACCAAGATAGACATTGTATTATACTGACCACCAGGACATTGTAATATACTGACCACCAGGACATTGTAATATACTGACCACCAAGATAGACATTGTATTATACTGACCACCAAGACATTGTAATATACTGACCACCAGGACATTGTAATATACTGACCACCGGACATTGTAATATACTGACCACCAGGACATTGTAATATACTGACCACTAGGACATAGTTATATACTGACCACCAGGACATTGTAATATACTGACCACCAGGACATTGTAATATACTGACCACCAGGACATTGTAATATACTGACCACCAGGACATTGTAATATACTGACCACCAGGACATTGTAATATACTGACCACTGGACATTGTAATATACTGACCAACAGGACATCGTAATATACTAACCATCAGGACATCGTAATATACTGACCATCAGGACATCGTAATATACTGACCACCAGGACATTGTAATATACTGACCATCAGGACATTGTAATATACTGACCACCAGGACATTGTAATATACTGACCATCGGACATTGTAATATACTGACCACAAGGACATTGTAATATACTGACCACCAGGAAATTGGAATATACTGACCACCAGGACATTGTAACATACTGACCATCAGGAAATTGTAATATACTGACCACCAGGACATTGTAATATACTGACCACCGGACATTGTAATATACTGACCACCAGGACATTGTAATATACTGTCCACCAGGACATTGTAATATACTGACCACCAGGACATTGTAATATACTGACCACCAGGACATTGTAATATACTGACCACCAGGACATCGTTATATACTGACCACCAGGACATTGTAATATACTGACCATCAGGACACTGTATTATAATGACCATCAGGGCTTTGTATTATACTGACCATCGGGGCTTTGTAATGCACCTACCACTAGGGCAGATATTGTAACAAGTAACGACGTACACTAGAAGAAGGTTCGATATTTTGCCAATATAAAAACACACCTATAACTACCAGAAGGGACACAGAGACTTATCCAAATACAAGTAAATATCTTCACATCCATGGCTCATCCAACAGAAATACAAACCTGAGTAATTTGTCTGGCTGTTTCCTGTCGACGCTCTCGTATAGATTTCACTTGATCCGTTAGCTTCGCCATCTTTTCGTTGTAACACATGTTGGCTACAATAAAGAATACAGATGATCGTGTTTTAAATGAAATTCAACCAAGAATGAAACAGCTGTATTGCCAATATTGATTTTGAAACAGAAAGAAAAGTAAAGAGAAAATCTGTAGATGTGCGCGTCCTTATAAACACTACATGTATCTTCTGTTAATCATAAGTAATGTTGTGTAAGACTTGATAGTGTTATATAACAAACCTGTATTCCAGTTGTCGGGTATGCCCTTAAAAGGCATGAACATGTCGTTCGGCGGAAAGGATGATACACTTCCGGTTGATTTTTTTCGGCGTAATTTCGTACTGATAACGGGCTTCGGTTTTATCATTTTTTTCATTGGTCGTTGGTTCTGCGGTTTCAAATCACGACTTTCGGAAACAGACGTCCGTGTCCTTCTGGACGGACATAGATCAATTAACTGCAAATTGTTGTTATCGTCAGTTGAGAAAATCTTCCTCTGCTGCTGTCCAAGCCCTTGGGTCAGGAAAGGTGGCCGAGTCCCGCCTAGGAACATTAGCAAAAAAAAAAAAAAAAAAAAGAAAGGAATTCTTATCTTGTTTTCATTGATGGAAACAGAGGTTTCCTTCGAGACATGGACTTTACTTACTGAAGTATACGTGTTTATGTCACACGATACTAAAACAATAATTTCAGCACATGATTTGACTAGCATCACATCCCTGAAAGAAACGTGCATTTTGCGTCCCTTTTTTATAAAGTTTATATAATTGCAACTATGGATTTACCGTGCACTTTGAAATTTCACTTTACAACCTTTCAAAAGTATTAGATCAGGGAAGCAAGCTGCATGTAGAGGTAACTATTGAAAACAAAGGTTATCGTCATTCTAAATGATTGGGCGATGAGAATCATGTTGTTTGACGTTAATTCTTTTTAATTTTGGCGATGTTATGATTCCTCATGTTGTATACGGGCTCATATAAGTAAACTTAAATTTTACAACTAAACTGATGTTTATTTTAGGATGATATGAGCTTGTTGTTACTGCTGGGCAATTTTTCCTACTATGGCTGAGCGTTATCTCTCAGCTTAGTATACAATTACCTTCTGTATTTATTTCCTTCGTAAGAGTAATGCTTCCTTTCATTTGTTCCGGTTGCCTGCGCAGCTTGTTTTGTACTTCTGGGCTAGTAGTAGATGTAGTTCTAGACACGCCAGACTGTCGTGTTCCAGGCCGAGTGTTCTCTTGTAATGTACGTCTGGACAGACAACTTGTAGACCTCGACAAAGGGTTGCCAAGTTTCGAAGTCAGAGTTTTCTTAACAGGGCGATAGCTTTGTGACATATAATTACTGGTGCTTCTCGACAATTGCTTAATTTGCTTTGGAGGTTTGGCACTGCTTCCCTGTACTGTCCTTTGTAGCACGTGTTTCCATAATACTGGGCTCGTGATAGCTGTAGTCCTGGAAATGGGCGTGGTCTGTGTATATACGTCCTGATAATGCATATTAATGAAATATTAACGAATCATTGCAGTTATGATCGCCATACTTCTTAAACGAAATACTGTTTTCTGTCCCGACTAAAAGTATAAAGCTTTGCAAGGTACATAGATGACACGATTTTATCATTAACAGGGTGTTGAAGGATTGCCAAAGTTCAACAATCAAACAAACTCACCTTAACCTTTTGTACTGTCGCACGCTTTGTGTTTTGCATAGACGACCTCGCCAAGGATTCCACCTCGTCTTGTAGAGACAATAAGACTTCCCTGGAAGAGGAAACTGACATGTTTTGAACTATGGCTATCATTTACATTTAAAGACGATTGACTATCGACACCACATAGAAATAGATGATCTCAGCAATATGGTAGATCGTGTGACGACCAGTCAAAAACAGGCAAAACGAAAACTACTATAGCGAGAAAACGAACAACGAAAAAGGTGCCAAAGTGAAAAGAGAAAACATGAATCGAATCAAGCCATATGCCGTCCATTTTAAGTCTCTTTTGGGTTTAGCATTTTACCTTCAATACCTTAATCGTTTTGTCATCGTTGCTTGCCTTTCTTTTTAGTGTGCAAAAAGAGAAATGACAAAATTTTTAATCAACCAACATTTAATGGTTAGTACTTGACACTTATGTTCTAATAACAAAATCAGTTTCAAGCCACACATGAAAGTTTTCAAAAAGAAAATATAACAATCTGATTAAAATACAAATCTTAATTAACCACTCCAATACTGTACGCTCATTAAGGAACAGGAAGTATTGGATTGGTAAATAAAGATCTGTATTTGAACCAGATGGTATAATAGAGTTACCAAGTTCCATTTCTACATAGCGGAATGAGGTAGTTTAACTCTCATACCTTATAGGAGTAGATAGTTTATCCAACGAATTCGTTTCATCATCGGGAATTTCTGAAAAACAGAAGGGAAATTTTGTCTCATCGCAAGAACGTCATGAACAGAGTTGCTTTCAGCAGACATTACCTTTGAGCGATTGATTTGATAACCGTCACTCACATGACGACAATTTCGCGCCATTATTCGGTGTTACCAGGCAGAGTTTGACCCCTGTCACTCGAGTGTATTTAAACAAATCACAAAAAAAGATAATTTCCTTTTGCTGTATTGAGTCTTGTTAAAGTATTTTACTGAAAAGAAATTTAGAACTTTATCTGTGTGAACGTTACCGACACCCCTAGACATTGGCAAACTTGGGCCTCAAACGTTCCCTGTAATATAGCTCTCTGAATGTCTACACACTGTTGGCCACCACAGTTGCACGTGACTTATAAGGCTTACCTTTGACGAAATCTTGACTATAACTCATCTGTTTAATTTTCACCACTTAAAGTGAAATAACAAAGCTCAAACATAAATGAACGATTTTAAAGTTTGTATCAGCCATCTTGAAGATCTGATCAAGCGTAGACCGTAGCATGTACAATCTATTCTAAGCATATCTCTAATACATCTTGAATTTTCTGTTATTTACTGTCGAAGAAACCAGTAACAGCAACGTCAGGTCTGTTGTAAATGGTAACGGCCCTATTCACACCGAAGAATCAAAATAGAAGATGCCAACTGCAATTTGTTGACCTCGCATGTACTTCTAACAATCTATATTTACTTTACCACGCAGTAAAGATAAGTCAGACCCACCTATTTCGTCGTCCTTTGTTTGTATGATACTACCGAAGATCTCTAACAGATCTGCGAGCATCCTTCTGTTCCTGTTGACAATACCCACGCCTGTCACGTGGTCCATCGGGATCCCGAAAATGTCGTCAGCCAAAGAGTCAACGATGAACTGGCCGATTTTGGCGCCATCTCGCTTAGACAAAATATTATTGGAACCTGGACAGACGTATGTAACGATATAAAAAACAAAACAATACATTGATCTTTTAGCTGCCATAATTACGATATAAAGGAAAATTTCACTGTAAATCATCATAATGCATTTGGATGTTTTGTTTTTTTTTCTTGCTTTTTTTGTGTGATTTTTTTAATTCTTAAAAAATAATTTCTTTCTTGATTGTTTTCTCCCTACTGTTTCTTGTATATGCTGTTTGGAACAAAATAATAAAAAAAGACCTTCTAAACGTTAACTGTCAATGAAATCTATTTACAGTAATACAATTCTTCCAAACGTTTCATAAAATAGAACTATTCCCCTATCAACATCAAAGACTACAAACAATCTATAGGAATATAAGGGGAATAAATCAGATATGAAATTTTACTTCTCGATTTTTACAGCACGCAAACGTTTGATGTGCCAGTGACGACGCTTGTCCTCAAAAATCCATTATTCTTCTGACTATTATAACGATGCCTTGGCAGTTCACATAAGTCACAGAAGTCTACATAGCTTTGCCTTTAACTATTCTCTGACAAATTGTACAAGAATTGCTCGGATATCCGAGTAAACGCAAGATTCATAATCGCTCACTCAGTGCAATTCATTTTTCATCTAATAACATTTATAAACTAAATCGTTTTTACCTTTTTTCTCTCGAAGTGTTCTATATTGGCATTACCGAAAATAGGGACGGGGCAATTTAGGGAAATATTTGATTGGTCAAAAAATAAAATCAGCCAATCAAAGAAGACCTTTGAAAAGTGAAATTGCCCCCGTTCCTATTTTGAGGAACGTTAACAACATTGACAGCTTATTTGATTTAAACGAAATACACGAAAAGACATTACTGGACACTTGCCATACGATTCGGGGTATGTATACGTATATATGTAACACAAAGACGTTACCTGAATGTGAATTAAATACGTGCGTTTTTACTTGATATAAGCCTTATTTGGCCTGGATTTCAATGGACAGACATAGCTCATCGGGGAATTCATCGATCTTGTTTCGCTTTCACAGTAAGCGAAAGGCGAGTAAATTTATTCTGTTGTACTAAGTCGTGTTTTCCATGTAGGTAATTTATTTGCAATAATTTTGGCACCAAAGAAGTAAAAATTGAACAACATGATGTCGTGTACCGACGATTTTTTTCAGGGCAGTGAATTTCTCTCTAGTAGTACCTCAGTTTGTTTACATTGCTCTTCATTTTCCTATCCCACTGGCAATTCATAAACTGATAATACTCGCCTGATATTAGTAAGGTTTCACCACATCTTCGCGATACAATTACTATTATAACGACGTGATCTTAATGCTCTCTTGAGATTTGTTAAAACGATGAGTTATCATTAACAAGTCGTGCTCATTACTCTTACTGATATAGGGGGTTACTCTGGGTAGGTCGTGACTTTTCTATTGGTTACTCTTTTTTTCAACTTCGTACTGCTCTTACTACTGTCTCTTGTGTCCTTAGTATTGTATATTTTGTTCTTTTGTTCATAGAATGGTCTATTTTGTTCTTAGTACTTTGATGAGGTCAATACACGATTTTATCGCACCATTCAAGAACAATATCGACCGAGAAAAGGTGCCGAGGTTGATACATTTTTTGGTTGGTGCGATAAATCAATGATAGACCGATATCAACTTACTGTAACTGCGAAAATAATTAAAAACCACTGACTGAAAGCAAAACTTCCGACTTTGTCATGATATTTAGAGCGTTTTCATCAACTAAAATAAAATACTAATAGGTATTATTTCGGAGAGGACAATGATTCCAGGGGAAATATTTCATCATCTCAATAAAGAAATTTGGTACATTTGTGCTAAAAATACGTGTTTTCTCTTTTATAATACAGTTATAGATAAATAACGGGCTGTAATATTACTTAATGGTGTTTATTACGTTTGTAACACATTGACGCCCAACGAAATCCCATGGGATTCGGTATTATGAATCTGGAGTTGCGATTCAGGAAATCACAAGCCAAAAAGGGACATATTGTTAAAAGGAGTACAGTGGCATGTGGTTCGATTCCAGATCGGAGCAGAAATGTGTCGATTCATTGTTCTTTCACATATACCTTTTATATATGAGGAAACCACTACTATGTCAGTAATTTATTTCATGATATGAAAAGGTTTGGATGTTGAGATTGTCAATGATTCATAGTCTATACCCTTTAAAAAGTATTACAGCGCGAAGCAATGAAAATAAATGTGTAAAGATTTGATTTTCATAAAAATTCAAACAATATTGGTATTGAAAGTTACTATCTGTTAATGGTGAGATGGAAATAGATATTGACGTTTTTTTAATGTTTTAACAGTAAAAGCGGGAATAAAGAAAAAATATTGATTAATTGATACAAGTTATTTGTAATGGAGACATCGTGGCTCCCTAGGTACCTGGTACGACTTGGCCTGTCACGTGATGATATAGGAGAGCGAAGTGTTTCACACTAATATCATCCACATCTTGTATCGATGTAGATCGTGGTCCCATAAGATCCAGTAAATCGTTGACGCGACAAACAATATCTGAAAATACAGGTAATCTATCCCCTTAGTACAAAACTCCGTACCCTACCCAAACATATCTAAAACATACAGATAACACATGATTACATTTGCGATTTTGGGTTTCAGGTCGTTTTGAATATTTCACAAATATTATTGGTTAGGGTTTCTCATTCATTTACGCGTCATGCACGCCTGCGCGTACGTGTGTATATATAAATGTAATTGTATGTGACACAGAAGTTGTGTCCCATTACATGTAGAACTGAAACACTGTCTAAGTAACTTTTACGTACCGTCATCAATGTCGTGGTCCGTTCGGTCAGTCGCCATTGTTGCTCAGCGGAGTCATTTATACAACTCTTAAACGGGGCACTGAACCAATCTGACTAATCCCGTGGCCCAAAGTTAGAAAGCAAAGCATGCTTTTCATGCAATACGGTGTGCTCGCCAACAAAGTTTAATGTTTTTGTATTTCCGAGTCAAAGTTCGTGCGCTTGTCTTACCTTTTCACACGAGACACATTCGGGTTAAGGATATAAAAGAACACACAATATATTTTAGTAGCTAAATAAAAAATAACACCATTATTGGTGTTATTACAGAATGTTGCAGTTTCAGTACGAGTAGCCTCCCTTCTTTCAACAACGCTGTTGATCTAAACGACACAAAACAAATTTTGTCGGCAGTTCACATTCTTTAATTTCAAACTCTTAATTTCAAATACATTCGGTAATACAACATAATTCATTATAATTGTATACATATTCTCTCATAATTACATAATGCGTCCAAAGTTAAGCATACTTAGTCAATGTATATATCAAACATCAGTCATTAAAGTCACAAAGATATTCCCTTATCAGGATTAAGTACAAGCACGGGATAGTAAAGAAACCATTTCTATACTGTGTAATGGGGATGTAAAATTGACACCCCGCCCTAAGGTACCAGGTGAGAACAGACTATAAGCTATGTGTACCAAGGACGTCCAATATTAGTCACTCAGAGAACATTTAATGACTTTTCGAGAATACCACTCTTTTATTATCAGATACGCCCTAAACTACAAAATTTCGATCGTGGATGAAAAAATGGGGATGTTTGCTAGTTTAGACAGCTGAGAGCGGAATGGTTATATCTTCGAATGGAAAATAATTCACAAAGACCGGACGGTTCGTGTCCTCTATATATTCTAAGAGCACTATTCAGAATCTGTACACGTATCTATATATCTTTACGTGTTCGGGATCAGTTTATATCAGTCCAAGACCACAAGATGTAGAGTACCATTTCCGACTTCATCGAGACTGGTATAAATCGATCTTAATCAGACATTGTATACGGGTATGACGTGTTTCCCCGTACACAATCGTATCAAAAAAGAAAGAAAAAAAATCTAAATCTGTTTTCGTTTCCAAATTCTTCAATTTGACTAAATCCCCCTTTCCAGATTATTCAATAATGAAGTCATATGGCACAAAATGTCACACAGACAAATCCGACGAGACAGAAAAAAAAATCTAACTTCCGGAAATTTGCTTAACACAGGAAACTCCCCCGTGTCATGTGTGTAATGTGGCATATCATTTCAAAACTTGAATCAAATAGCATAGACTTTTCTGAATAAAATATTAAAAGTGATTTTCTTGTTATTGTTTTTTAACAACTGCTAGGGGTAGGTAACGCCCACTTGGCCTGGAAATGCTTCTCGGAACTATTGAAGTCGGTCATTGTAAAGTATTCTGATACGTCTGTACCTAAATGAAATCCATTTGATATACAGATTCCATTTAGGTATTTTTATAAATGTATACTTACATCGGCTTTATTTGAAAACTATGTTCCCAAATAGCATCCCTTTACATACGTACACTGACAAAACATATAGCTGACGGACAAATATCTGAAAACAGTAAGGAATGGTTGAGACAGTAAACCTCCCATTACAGATTTAAACCATGTCATAATGGAATAAATAATATGTTAAACACATATAGTAATATAATATCAAATACATAAACAAATACATACAAACAAAACCTTCAGCGTGTATCTTATCAAGATTTCCAACCAGAATTATGTATGTAAAATATTCACGAGTCCCGTGGTGTATTGATATTCACGAGTCTCGTGGTGTATGAATATTCACGAGTCTCGAGGTGTATCAATATTCACGAGTCTTATGGTGTATTAATGTCCACAAGTCTCGTGGTGTATTAATATTCAAAAGTCTCGAGGTGTATTTATGTTCACAAGTCTCGTGGTATATTAATTTTCACGAGTATAATGGTATATTAATATTCACGAGTCTCGTGGTATATTAATTTTCACGAGTCTCGTGATGTATGAATATTCATGAGTCTCGTGGTGTATTAATATTCATGAGTCTCGTGGTGTAATAATATTAACGAGATTCATGATTAAAGTACATTCAAACAGCATACGATATGTTTCACTATAGTATTCACGGACTCTGATATATAGTGTTATGATATTCACAAGTCTTGTGGCATATTTATACTCACGAGTCTCGCAGTAAATAAATATAACAGACTCTCCCAGCATACAGTTCATTGACGTTTTGGAGATTAATGGCATCACGAGATCCGCAGGATCAGAAATAAAAATTAGAAATCTTAACGAAAACTGATTTTCATTTATTTCTAACGGAAGTCATATTTGGAATTATCTATTTTCTGCGAATGAAAAAAGCTGAAATCAGCCAATCGGCTGAAGATTTTCATCTCCGAAGGATATGGATATTTATGAGTATCATCAATATGTCAGTATACCTCCCTAAGATTTTATCCTACCTGTACAAAAAAATCACACAGTATGGCACCATATAATATCTCAAATGTTCCCAAAACATATGCATCACCTTCCCCTTATAAACACAGTAATTTGCTGGTGACCGGGATTCTTTGATAAAGTGGAGTATTTTTTATTCAATTTCTTATGTACATATAACGATAAGTGATTAAAAAATGAATAGCGTGTCCCATACAACTAACTCCTGACTGTTATAAAGCACCAAGAGTGTGAGGTGGGGCAAAGGGAGGGAACCGGGTGGGACGAGATTTGGAGTAGGATAGGTAAATAAAGGTATCGGGAGCGAATTCAGAAGCGGAGATGATGAGGAGATGAAGTGACGATGGGATAGAAGTAGAAGAAAGGATTGGTGAAAGGTTTTGTTAGAATGTCCACGCGACAGCCAGGGTGAAGGGAAGGGGAGGATTATGGATGAGGTAGTGAGGGACAGGAGAGTGGTATTGATGAAGCACTATAAACACATGAATATGTGTACATTGATGTAAATCAGCTTACATCATCAATTTAAATATTTATAGAAATACCAGCGTTTTACTTCATTATCACAATACACATCCATTAAATCACAACCGCCACTGAGTCACAGTACCCATAATGCAACAGTACACGAGTCATTCATTTAGCCACACAACAAACTTCACAAGGTTAGCAATCACGACTTTATGAGGACTTGTTAATTTTGTTAATGTTTGTATGACTTACATGAAGATTTTTGTTCTCGGTAATATCATCAAAATACATTTTAAAACAATACCACGTGACAGGAACGTAAAATAGAAATACATTATACGTCCCTGTACATGATGAGAAATACAAGCTTTCATCAGTTCCCACTATTCAAAGTAAATAGATTTGTTTTCGTTTTCCATTTTGAGAAAGAAGACATTATCAGTGTATAAAGATATAGTTAATTTTCCAGGAATGAGAAATGTAGATTTATTTTGAAATTAAATCTATTTGAACCCTAATTAAGTTATGTAAGGCATAGGGCTGGAGTCTCAACGGCGACAAAAATGTTGACATCACACATCTAGCTTGTAAAATCTTCTTATTTTATCATAACTTAAACTTTATATGAAAGGCCTCCTTTCATATATACTCAAAAACCGACGCAGATAAACGGTTTTACTTTGACTACCGTCTCAGCTTTGAATGATGATAATAATAGTGATATATTTTTGTCTTTCATCATGTACAGATCCGATGTTTAGGAATTTGGTTTGCGTTTTCTTTCTCTTTCAGGCACTGTTTTCACAACGTTTAGGCGGAGTTGAAAACCCTTTAGCTGAGTGCTCAATTCTATTAACAAACCTCCTTATCGTCCATTAGAAAATCTAAAATGAAATTGGATATTTGAAGTGAAACAGGAAATGAAATCGTATGCATACATGCATGAACACGTATGGTAACATCAGTATAGGGTTAAATATATGTGTGACGGGTTTGTAGACAAATACAGTCTGGCGTCCAACTTCATTTAAGATTGTTAACATTTGACAAACGATTGAAAAAATTAAAAACTACACTAATCGGTTTTTTTTTCAATAGCTATTATAAATTCGTAATTAATTTCTTCGCGTTTGAAATATAAATGTTATTATTTAAATTTCTATGAAAGTCTGAAGTACACCGTGTTTGAATCAGTATTTCAAGCATATGTGGTTGGAAAGGGCAGGGAAATAAAACCTGTCACGTAAATTACCGCTGTATTTATTTCCGATTAATGCGAACCACAAAGTGTAAACTATTGAAAATCCTAGAAAAACAACAGTAATTAAGTTAATCTGTTTGGCGGATTCTAGATTGTCACGTGGTATAGGATTATGTAGGTCAAAGATTGCATTCCTAATAAGAAATATGCCAAAGAAAGGAAACAGCCATCTGTTTCGATATATTTTCAGAATACAGAAGCTGGGAACTCTCTTTCACTGAAGGTATTTATAGACTTTATAACAGTGGTTTCCAGAGTCGGCTACAATCACGTGACCGTCGTCTGTGACCGCCAGTCCCTGCGGTCCATAAAGAGGCTCGGCGGAAGAGTTGACAAAACTGAGGAAAGATCCGGTGCTGTCGAAAACCTGAAATATAATAAATGATATAAAGATAAATGTCATACCCAAGTCAAGCACGTGTACAAAACATGTTTTAACTGTAACTAAGACCATGGAGACCTGTGAACTTGATGTATTTTGTAATTGGTCTATCCAGAAAATCCAACTATTGACGAAAAGTTATATTTCCAGAGAAAAACAGTATTCTGTTTTCAATGTCGCCGTTCATCTTTTGGATTTTAGGATAACGTGAAGCCTTTAAAATCCTCTTCCTAACACGTTTACCGCAAAGGATGTACTTATTGTGTTCTCTAACTTTCTGTGGTAATCACATTGACAAGCCGCAAGCAGAGATAGCTCCATCGCCTAGCCCTTCTGGGATATTATAACAAAACAACATGCTTACTACCATCAGCTTTGTACAACCTTTGGGTATTGTTCAGTCCCTCTGGGTTACTATATAGATTCCAGAAACATCGATTTAAGGTTTTATTGGCAGTTAATGCTTAGGTTGGTACAACTGTAAACCACAGAATATGCAATGTTACAGACGAGCGTGTAACAGCAAAACCAGGCCTAGCTGCTCACGAAAGCAGGGTAAACAATGGGCGTTACTTGGAGGGACGCCATATTGTTGATATCTTATTTGAGTTTAATATATAAGAGTGTTTTACATTTGTGTAAATGTCATGTTGAATTTTCTTATGTACGTCAATAATTAATATTTTTTCGGCAAATACCGAACTAAGCAAATCATTTGAGGGTTTTATGTTTTTTTTACATCCCGACATGTATAAGATTAGTGTTACAGGATTTTATGACGTTGGCATCTTAAGATAGAGCAGTGATATATTTAAGACATATTAGCTAACTACTATTAAGTCACCAAGGTCCTGCTTACAAAGAATATTAATACTAGTTTTTGTTGTCGCAATATATCGACAAGAAACATTATCAGCTTTCATATACCGATTCCTCATCCTACCTACAACCCAGACGTCCATGGCAATGCTTATCTTTACTTCATGCCTAGTTGAATGGCTTTGTGTCCGCTTTATTATTAAATATTTTGGTTATCCAGCAAACGGTTTCTTCACTGTCCGCTCGAAATCTTTTGAAGGGTTACCGCTGATCAGACTAACATGAAAGGTTATCAGGAAGTGACCCCTGACCTAGTACGTGTTTCATATTCCTATGTACGTGTAATAATCCCCGGTACTGATACCTATAGTTACTTGGTTTATTGTCTATACTTATAGTGTATCGCTTTGATATCATAACATAAATCTTATTCACCTGTACTTTATTATCTTAGTTACATTTGTAGCGATATCATAGCTAGTAGTCTAGTGTTAAACCCGATATCATCATCATCATCATCATCATCATCATCATCATCATCATCATCATCATCATCATCGTCATCATAATCATCATCATCATCATTGTAATTTCTCAAAATCTCAAAAATTGTACAGTTATGTCCAAAATCACACCAAGAAGTAAAAAATGCACATAATCACCATATCGGCATGTTGGTGAGATATTTACTAGCTATAACACATAATTGACCCACGATAGATCATCTAGCACTTGTACTTTGTCCGAAAACCTTAACATTGACACTATGTCACAAAAATAAGGTACTTTCATCCAAAATTAACGCAGTTCTCAACTAGTAATACAAAACTTTACATCTACAAAAGTATACATGAGATGGTCATACATATATGATGTTATGAAACAGAGATAGCCTAAAAGCGTGAAACAGGAAAAGCCTAAAAGCGTGAAACAGGAATAGCCTTAAAGCGTGAAATAGGAATAGACTAAAAGCGTGAAACAGGAAAAGCTTAAACGCGTGAAATAGGAATAGTCTGAAAGCGTGAAACTGGAAAAGCCTAAAATTGTGAAACAGGAATAGACTTAAAGCGTGAAATAGGAAAAGCTTAAACGCGTGAAATAGGAATAGTCTGAAAGCGTAAAATAGGAATAGCCTAAAAGCTTAAAACAGGAATATCCTAAAAGCGTGAAACAGGAAAAGCCTAAAAGAGTGAAACAGGAATAGCCAAAAAGCTTGAAACAGGAATAGCCTAAAATTGTGAAACAGGAATAGTCTAAAAGCTTGAAACAGGAATAGTCTGAAAGCGTGAAATAGGAATAGCATAAACGCGGGTACAATTTGATGAATAAGAAGAACTTTACAGATATCCACTGTATGACATCATAGTGTATTGCCTTCTTCCTGGCTCATTGACCTTATTTATGCATCGTTTTAAACAAAAATTCGTTAACATTCGGATATGATTAAATTCAAACAAATATCGCAATAGTGCATTTATATCTGAACTGCGACTGAAATAATATGAACAGGAGATCAGATGTGCTATTATCTTCATTGGTTAGATTTTTTTCAACAAGTTTTTGACAAGATGTATTTCAAACTATCAATACATACGTTTGTTATATATACTTGAATCATTTAAAGATATTTAGTTTGCTTTTATTTCCACATAAAGGCTTAAAAGGACATTTTGTCGGTCCAGATATTTTTATCCAATCAACGAGTCAGAAGTTCTCATTTCTTGTTGCAATAAAAGATCAATCGACCTGTTATTCAATGCGATCACATATGCAGTTTGTTGGTTTTGTTTGCTTTTCGGTTTAACTAAGTATACCACCAATGCTCCTATATACGTAGACAGGCCCCAATTCACCTGTACCACGGTCTAAGGTCCCCGTGGGTAAGACAAGTATTTATGCAGTGCCTCCCCTACGATTCTCTTATCTATACTTTACCTGGATCCGTGAGTTTCCCCAATCTGCCACCAGGATGTTTCCATTGCTATCTACCGCTAATCCGGTGGGAGCGTTGAATTGACCGTTGCCTTCCCCATTTGATCCGAAGCTACTGAGGAAGTTTCCCTCACTGTCAAACACTTTAATGCAGTGGTTGTGGAAATCTGAGATAAGTATATCGTTATCCTTGTTCACAGCCACGTAGTGTGGGCCTGCGAACTGCCAGTCATTGTTTCCCCGAGATCCGAACTTTGATATCAGTTTACCGTTAGATTGAAATATAAAAACACAACTTCCTTTATTATCCACGACAATGATATGTCCGTTCTTGTCCACGGCGATCCCCTTGGGACCCAGTAGTTTCCCGGTTCCTATTTTGTTAACGTATTTGCCCTCTGGGGAAAACACACTAATCCACTTGTTGTCATAGTCCGCCACTAGGTAGTTACCGTTCAGTGTGGCAGTCACTCCTGTGGGTCTTTGGAGCTTTCCTGCCACGCGACCTGGAGTCCCGAATCTGAGTTTACAATCGCCGATTTCACTAAACACCTGAACACACTGGTTGTTACTATCAGCTACAAGCGTCTTTCCTCCCACCACACACACACCTTGTGGGTTGGTAAACTCACCCTTATTTCGCCCTTTGATGCCAATCCTCATCAGCAGGTCGTCTTCGATAGGATTGCTACGACGGTTTGATCCATGTGACCTTGAACTTGATAGACGTTTCGTACCCTTTTGTTTGACAACGGTTCTCGGGATTTTTGACGAACTACCAAGATGATCAGATCCTTCATCAGCACCGGAAAGAGCCCTGATTTTGAATGGGGAGCCCCGAATATGTTGACCATAAAGCTTGACGTCAAGCTCATAGACAGCCTCTTTTTTAACAGTATACGAAATTTCGTACGTGCCATTCTGGTGATCGATAATTGCAGGAGACTGTGAATGTCCGGAATCATCACGTATTTCGGCCGAGAGAGATGCAAATCCTATCTTTATTAACTCCCCTTTCCTGTCCTTGGTTGTTACGGTAATTATAGAGGGTCTTCCGATGTGACATACCTTGAGGCCGTCACCACTTGCAACTGTCTCAAACGCTATAGCGCTATTACTATTAATATTTCCTACATTAACCATTAGCTTTTTTAGACTCTGGAAGTGACTTGGGTCAAAAATCAAACATTCATTCTCCTCGGGCTGAAATTGAAGTCTAAGAGCTGGAAGTTCTTTCAATTTTTCCGACATTTCTTTCTTTATAAGCAATATTTCTGTTTCACTTCCACTTTTTAAGGTTTCATCAGTCACATCACAACAGTTAGACATTCTAGATAGGATACTCTCTAGGCGCTCTTTTTGGCCTTCAAGAGTAAGTCTTTTGTGGTCGTAAATCGTCGCTAGTTCTCCAAGAAGCGCGGTTTCTCTCTCTTCCATCATTTTCCGTAGATCGCTAAATGCAGTTTTGATTTTATCCTCCGCAAATGAGTTATTTTCGTGAAGATTTGCTGTAACTGATCCAACAGTTTCGATAGCTGCTTCCAAATTAGGAATCTGGTCTCTCGCTTTCGTCACCAAGTCCTCTAATTGACCTTTCTGGTCTAAAATGGCCTCCTCAAGAAGCATCGTCTTGTGACCAATGTGCTCCACATCTGTGCAATCTTTGCACACGGCCGTTTCACATGCACAGCAATAGTATAACAGAGAATTACCGTCATGGTTAGGACAGACAAGCGTCATATCGATCGATTTATCTGCGTATCCTGTGACGTCAGCTAGCAGTATGACGTTGTGCTCTTTCGTTAGGTCCTCGGTCTGATGAGAGTCGGTGCACTTTTCACATAAGTAATCTCCACATTCAACACATTTAGACATGGACGTCCCGCTCTCCTTACCACAATCCCGACACACCTTAGGGTTTTCAATCACCTCGATCAAATTCGTGATGAAGAAGTTCGATTGAAGAGCTTCAACGCCCTCTTGTGGTAGTATAGACTGTTGTCGGCAAATGGGACAGGTTATGGAAAGACTTTCTGGTGGGATGTAGCTATCCAAACACTTCTGACAGAATGTGTGTAGACAGGGCAAGACCTTCGGTGATATGTATCTCTCCAAACATATCCCACAACTAAGTAACTGTTGGTCAATCTGACGCATCACCGAAAAACTCTCTGCCATGATGATTCGAGAGTTACCTCCCTTTGGAAACTGAAAAAAAAAAAAAAAAAAAAACATTGTAGTATATTTTGCTGAATCTCATCTAAGGCCGGAACGAAAATTAATCGGAAACTTGAACTATCCAATAACCAATGTAAGCTTGTATACATCAAAAGCGATGAGCTGTACTGATTTGGTAATATTATGTAGTCTGCCTAATGAGTAAGTGAGGACATCTTATAAGAATCGATGGGCTTTCGAGATACCTTTATATCTCGATAGATTGTGTGGTGCACCAAGGTCATTACGTACACATGTATCAATGTGTGACAATTCAGACGCTTACAAAATCAAGTTAAAAATCTGAACGGGAAGTCATTGTAGTGATTTATCTGAATTAATTAACTTTATTTACCCTCGGTATTAGTGTGAATGTGTGTGTGTCCAATTATTGTGTCATGGAGTCCTCCACAAAGGATATGTAACAATAAGATTAATATGAATTAAAATGTATCTTTGTATTAAACTATCAGCTTCTGGGCACATTAATGTACGACAGCTTTACACTTAATACAAACCAGTAAGATTGGTTTTGTTTATAGAAAATAACCATTCATCTTTGTATAATTCTCGTTGCGGCAATCGAGGCCCACAAAGGCACTAACATTATCATCTGCTGGAAACGTGATCTGTAAGTTCTAATCTGTCAATAACACATCTTTGTCCGCAAATATAAACCGGGGATTTCCTAAAAATATGCATTTAATACTCTTATTACCGTGCTAGATGACAGCCAGTGGATCATCACTGACTTTGTTCACAGCCCACGGGGAAACGGTCAATTAGCGGTCATTGTTTAAGGTCAGAATGCTTTCAGACATCTATTATGATAACCTGATCTGATCGTTACCCGATGACCACGGTATAGGTCTACAGTAAGATGACTGATATATCATCATCCTTCCAAGAAAGGTGTAGCCATCTGAGTGTGACCAAGTTCGTTACATCACCACTGAGACATTGTTAGTTAATCTAATGGTTCTATCAACTTCAATTAAGTGACTTGCTTTTATAGTCTGTCAAAATTTTATACGGAATAGCTTCCTGTACATTTACGTATTTTTTTTCTTTTGACATAAACATGCAAAGAGTAGGAGACATGTAAAAACGTAATTTTATATTACCGGAAGTGAACGGGTAACAAGACCGAGGTATAGTCACAGATCATGATAACTTTGTATGCTTGAATGAGATTCTGTTTAACTCGAGAATCAAAATATAGGGTGTAATTTTTCAGTATGTACTTTGTGCTTTGATGTTGTATGGTTAATTACTGAACAATGCATGAAGATTTTTATCTGTCATTTACCTTAGGGCATTTGAGTGTTCCTGAAAGACGCACACAAAAAAAATCCCTACAAATTCTACTGTATGTTTTCACATCCAATGATGACTTACATTTGTAGTGAATTGAACAAATAACATCAAATTTATAAAACACATATAGAAAGAATTATTCCTATTTTTATTAAAAGGAACCAATTTTTGTTGAAATACTACATTATATTTGTAAATATCATAATTATTTTATACCTATATTTCACACAAGTGTAGAAATAGGGGATCAATACATACGCAATGTCTGTGTTTATGCTGAATCCTAGTGGTATCCATTTTAAATGTGGTTGTTTCATATAATCACACTCGTAAATACGCTCTTAGATCTCTAAACATCAATACGAATTAGAGCCGACACCGTCTATTACATGGTCAGTTCAAAGGTTACTGGGCGCAATATCTAGTCGATTCTGTGTCTTAGGATAATAAACACCAGTAAAACAGAAATCCCGTATCAATATAATGTTATATATAGGTCTTAACACATGTTCATTCTGTAGATACTGATGCATTTCCTATGTCGACTTGTTGGTATAAACATTATGAGATGACATTTATTGGTGAGGCCTCACACGGGAAAATGTCTGAAATGTTCATTAATAGTTTTTTTGTAACTAAAAAAAAAAAAAAAAATACGAATAGAAAAAGGTAGTTTGATGGCAGGAGTTAATTTTTGAATGTTATATATTCTTGCGGAATTTCTTATAATATTACAAGTTAATCAAAAAACAATAAATATTATAAGATAAAATAGTTGTTTTAAGTTAAGATTTTAAAATATCCTTTCGAATGGCCCCTAATATTAGAGACCGCCATGATAAGATGGCCATCAGTCAAGTCACATGTAACCCCCGGCCCTGGATCACATCAAATTCTGGTCGGTGACTAATTACTCTCGGTTAAAACTGTGATGGGCTAGCCAATCATCATTATAGCTGTATGTAATCTGTCAATAGATGTCTACAATCTCCAGAAAAAACTCAAATATCCATGTATAATCAGCCTGTTGATCAAAAGACAATAATAAATTAACGAACACTGGACATTTAATTTGACATTGGAGACAGATCGCATCATCCACCGGTGAAATTGTAAATTCTATAATGATATATAGAAATGACAGATAGAAAAAAATATGAAATGTCTGTTGATTTCAAATAGAACAAAGGCGATTATGTCTTAACAATAGAAGATAATTCTTCAAAGTAAAAACGAAGCATTTAAACATTAATTCGTGACCTGCATAAAAAGCAATGAATGTTTCCCCGTTACCATCATTTAGAAGGTTATTTGTAAATGTTTCCGATTGTTCTTTAAAAATCTTGAATTAGATGTCAAGATGGATCAAGATTATAACATGGCAAATAAAAAATACAATTAAGTTTGAAGGAGATGTTGGCTGTCAGGTTGTCTGACTGAAATACCGGCATAGACATATTGTAGCGTTATCAGATTGTACGCAATATATTGACGTTATATTTATCAGATATCAAACTCTTTCTATGTGTGTGTTGTGGTTAAAGAAATTGAACGTGATTAAATCATCCTCATTCTAAACAGATTCTGCTTGGATATCTCGGCCTGCAGCAAAGATAACATGACCCAGCTACTCCAATGTCAAATGAAATTCATTTTGTATAGACATATCTCAAGAAAACGCCTGTTTGCAGCAGAACCTTTCACACGTCGGCAGATTATTGTTTTGCATGTGTGTATGCTGATATCCCTTTTGTGTTTCACTGATATATACATAGACTTTTAGGAAATGTGTTGGAATACAATCAATGGATGTTGTAATTGAACTTGCTACCGGAACCGGAAGTAGGATCTGGTCCAATTCCATCTCGCGTGATTTGAATATGGTAATATAAAAAGTATGGCAAGATAAATATATGCGGCAGATAGCCGATATTAACTGTTAATAGAGCACTTCTAAATCATCCATAATAATCATCCATTCTGTATCTAGAAAATAGTTACTAATCACAGAAAAATATGTATGTTACAGTGATATATAGTACTGTTCGGTAGTTTGATATGTAGCCTTTTCGCACGACATAAAAAAACCATGTAGGAGACATGTGTCATACTTGTATCTGTTTGTATATTTTCCTTCGTGTCATTCTCATAATGCTCCTTTCCTTATGATATCTATTTAGCGTCAAGCATGTTGACGCATAGCTACATGTACACACGAGTTTTGTGCGTGAAGCCATGTTTCACGACAGGAGGATAATCACGGTATTGATTAGCCTGTCCACCACATGTTCGCGTTTCTCTGTGCGATGTGTGAACAGTTCACGACATTGCTTTTGTCAGTGTACGATGACATGATCTGAAAAAATTATATAGTACAGTTTTATCAAATATGAAAGCAGTTACCTTGTTTTGACTTTGTCTCCGAAATCCGAAACGTCCATGTTGGAATGGTCTTTTATTCTATAGTAAAGCTGGCGTTCCAATATTATAATATTATAAACAAAGATATTATAATATTATAATGGCATGAACGGCGCCTGGAGGCAATTTGTACAAATAACCGGTACACAAACAGTATCAGAAATGTCATTCATGATCACGCCAATGTCCTTAATGTGCATATGTATTCCGGAAAATCAATTTTAGAAAACACATGTGGAGGGCTTTCGGAATGCCGGTTTCAGAACATGCACCGAAACAACTTGGACAGAAATCAATACTCAGTACGTCACCAATCCTTGAATTTAGTCCTCTTGTCTAAGATCAATACACCAGTCTGGTAGAAATACACGATGTATGAACATCCCGAAACATCTTCAGACAGACACAGAATCTACAAATATTACGCGGGAATGTTATATTTTAATCCCGTGCTACACTCTCAACGTGAATAATTCAGGGAAGGAATTCATCGATCTCTGGTACAAAATCGATCGATACCCTGATTCAGCGGATTTAATTTGAACCACTGCCTGCCTTTACAGGTGCTCGGTTCTGCAAAAGATCACTATGGTACAAGAACTGCTGAACAAAGCTTACATTAATGTTGAATACGTATTAGATATGTGAATTCATACTCTTTCATTTCTAAATTATTTTCTGTGTATACATTTCACCATATCGATAGAGTTGTTGACGATTTGTATTTTAAGGTATCACGTCACCTGTCTCCCCGATATAGCTTCTATCCAAGGTAATTGACCATGACAAGGTATATAGGTAAAAATCAAGAAATGCAATCCATTCGTAAAGATACCAGTATCTGATATTAGTATACACTTAATGCTAAATTGATTAATATCTTTTAAATATACCAATTTGTACGACAAGCATGTCTATAGAGTATCCACATCCTTCCTCCGGCGATAGTGATGTACCATTTACCTACGCTATTTCTATTAATGTCAGTAAAACGTCTGTCAATCTGATCTGAAGCTCTAAGTGGACTCACTGACATTAAAAGTCCCAGTCGTTAGTGAAATGTAATGACTTTAAGTGATTCCTTGGATCTGTAAAATTGAAGTCACTGCTGCATGACAGTTAATTACAAAATGTATTATTTATGATTTTTTGGGGATTTACATGTAAGCTTTCAATGAATACGGACATAACTCAGTGTGTAAAGGTCAAAAACCGTTTATTTTATTATATCAGTGTTCTTTTCTATCAAATCA